GCACCCCCGCCATCCCGTTCAAAACCCAAAGCAATTTGAGCGTGAGGCGTCCGCGCATGATAGAGATGATCGTGAAGAGTGCATTTTGTATTGCTGTTGGTAAGGGATGATTGGGGGTGTTGGCATTGCACACAGCAGACGATATGTTGCGCCCCCCGCCGTCCTTGTCAAAATCCATGCCAAGTGATCACGGTGCGTTCGCGCATGATCCAGATTTTGTTACAAAGTGAGTTTTTAAATAGTTTTTGTTGCCAGGGATGGTGGGGTGTGTGTTGGCCTCGCGCAGAAAGCCATGTGCTGGCATCCCCGCCGTCCTTGTCAAACGCCAACGCAAAGTGGTCCCTGCGTGCCCGTGCATGCTCCAGATTTGGAGGTCAAGTGTAGTTTGTATTCTTTTTTGACGGGGATTGTGGGGGGGTCGCATGGGTGCCCTCAGTGGTCCGGGTTAGCTGCCGGTCGGGTTACGGAGGGGGTGTTTCTTAATAGGGAACAGTGATAAACCCTTCCCCGAAGGGGAAGAAGGGGGCTGCAAGAAACGCTCTACACCGCTCACCCCCTAAGGGCTGATGGGATTGTTGTCGAGACCTGTGAAAAGAAAAGTGAGAGAAAGGGCTTATTGCAACATCGCTGATGCGTCTGTTTGTTTACACTGGTCCTCGTGCTCCTCCCTCCCTCCCTCCTCCCCCCCTCCTCCTCTCTCCTCCTCCTCCTCCTCCTCCTCCTCCTCCTCCTCCTCCTCCTCCTCCTCCTCCTCCTCCCTCCTGCTGTATATATCCCAGGATGCGTAGGCTAGCTGGCTAGCTCCCTGTGTTCGCTCAACGTTGCTCTTAGATTGTTCAACCTTCAGTTGCCCTGCTCTCGGTCAGCCACGCGCAGAGGGGGGGGAGGGGAGAGGGCTTCTTAAGAAGCACCCCTGCTGCTCAGAAGGCGCGGGCCTCAGCTACAGATGTGAGGCCGGCGCCTTCTAAGGAGCAGCCTCCTTCTAAGAAGCCCTCCCCCCTCCCTCCACCCCCTCGGCATCTCTCGGAGTCCGAGCGATGGCCACCCCCGTGTGCGCGCCGCGCCAACTCGGTGTTTGCCCTGTCTGCTTGGCATGCCCCCCCCTCTGTGAGGGGGCAGCGGGCTTCTCTTGCCCCTGGGCGGGCTTCTCTTACCCCTGGCGAGCTGCTGCGCCGTGGCCCCGAACTCGAAGTTTTTTTGGGTTAATAATAACGGTGTGTGTGTATACGTATATCTATGTTTTAAGTATATTGTATGTGTGTATATCTATGTTTAAGTATATTTAGGAAGAAAGAAGTCATGCGTCGTTTCGTTTTTCGTTTTGTGTTTAGCGCGGTCTGCGAATGCCGTTTCGTTTTTGTTCGCTTGTGTTCTTTACAATTTGTGCTTTCGTCTCGTTGTTCGTTCTCGTTTGGGCTGATTTCGTTTTAAACGTTTGTTGTACAACGGTCGGGTGAAACGCGTTATTCGTTCTAAACGCCAGCGCGTTTTAAACATCGTTGTGGTCGGTCCTTGTTTTTTTTTTTCTCAGCAGCGTGGGCCCTCCTGGAAGTCTGGACCCCTTCTTCAGAGGGGCAAGAAATCATGATCAGGCTGCGTTCCAAGATGCCCAAGGTTTCCTCCTCATCCTCGCGGGTTCCAATCGCGAAGGCCGCTAGATGCCCCCGAATGTCTGGAACGTGTCTTGAGCCAGTCGTATCGTGACATCCCTCTCGTCCTACGTCCTCCGGAACGCTTTTTCATCGCTTGGCCGTCTCCTGACCGCTCCGGGGCCCGGCAAGGGCCCCCGACGGGCCGACGGGTTCCTCAAATTCTTCGTCTTAATCCGTAAGGGCTTCGCCCCATGCCGCCGGCCCCCTTCCTCGGATACGTAATGGGAGATGCAAAAGCTGAATCATGAGGTCTGGGCGCCGCCGTGAAGCACTGTCGGGACCTGTTTGTTTTTTGACCCTGACCCCACCGATCTGCGTGGAGAGGTGCCACCGCATTTTAAACATGTGGCAGATCCTCTGTGCTTTTGGACCCTGACCCCGCCGATCTGCGTGAGGGGTGATACCGGATTTCAGAAATGTGGCAAATTCCCTGTGTTTTTGGACCGTGACCCCGCCGATCTGCGTGAGGGGTGCCATCGAATTTTAGAAATGTTTGCAAATCCCCTGTGTTTTTGGACCCTGACCCCGCCGATGTGCGTGAGGAACAGTCAGCATCAAGAAGCAGAACTGTAACAGTGGAAACTGGAAGCTGCAACTGGTAATTACAGGAAACTGCGAACCTTCGGCCTACAGCCTGGTGGCCCCACAAGGGGGCCGGCGGATTATTTTTCGCCACGCGAGACCCAGACACCCGGCTCCGGCGATTTGATTTTTTCCAACCCTCAGCGGAGACAAATGGACCACCGCCACCGGGAGCCCACCGGGTGGAAGGACCGACTGCTGGGCCTGTGGCACGCCCGAGCGTCGTCCCGTGCTGGGTGGCGCTCGGGCGGGACACCGCCCAGGGGCCGGCCCAGTAACCCGTGGGTTCTCGGTGGCGGTGGCCCATGTTTCCCTTCGGAAGTCCGCGGCACCAGCGGTCTCGACCACTCGCCCAGGATTTTTGTTATGTTTTTTTTTTTCCTCCGCTGGTCCAGGGGCCCGATAACGGGGCCCAAGGGCCGAGATCCAGGAAGAAGGCTGGGATTGCACACCGTGTCGTCGGAGGTCTTGGGAGATCGGGCGGGGACCGGGACAGACCGTTCCAGGGCGTTCTGGATCGACTGCACGTAAGAGTGACCCTTCGCCGGAGTGACCTTTGGTGCGGGCCCATTGGGGTCCCCGATCGCCGAACGCGAGGCGGCAGTGGCGTCTTGTGCGCTTGTGTTTGGCCCCCCCGCGGCCCCCCAAAAGCCGCGCACCAAAGGTCACTCATACCCAGGGTCACTCTCACGTGTAGCCGACTGGAACGCTGTCGGAGCGTTCCAGAGCGTTCCAGAACGGCCGCGGCGCCCGGCACATCCTCCAGGATCGTTGGACTGCAGAGATCCCCGATGTGTCCCAGTCCAGTGTTATCGCGGCCTTGGCTTCGTCTGAAACTGCCCCAAACACTTCGTGCTATTTTTTTTCATCACGCGAGGGCCCTGAGATCTGACGACCCGGGAAGATTGCAGCACTGTGAAAAATCAGGACCAGAGCTCTGGACCCCATCTGTTTGCTCTATGATGGTTCCAGGGACCGAAATCGTAGGAGAAAACGCCCAGCTCTCAGGGGAAGCCTTGGACCGGATCGACTCGGCAGGAGGAAGCGTCGCGCCCAGCAGCGCCATCAGGGGCCTTTTTTTGGGGGGGGACCGCAATGATGGAGTTTTGAATTCAAAAACCAGTCAGGGCGGTATCTGTATCCTGCCCTGCCTGACGGGCAAACACCACCACGGCCCTTATAGTCGAACCGATGGTCAGGATGTGTCACCTTCCTCAGAGCATCCCTGCATCCTTACCTCTTTGGCCCATCCATCCCTACTTTCGATGACTCGCTGCGCTCGAAAAAACTTCAGCACGGGCGTCCAAGGCCTTAGTATCGGGGGGGTGAAGGTGTGGGCGAGGGTGAGGTTGTAGGGTGAGAGTGTGGGCGAGGGTGAGGTTGTATGGGTGGGGGGGGTGGGGCGTAAGTGTGGCGAGTGGGGGGAGAGCGATAGTGAGGGGGTGGTGAGCGCGCACTGGGCGTGGAGGTGTGCGCGAGTAAGGCGAGGGTTGCGGGTGTGGGCCCATCGTCCAAGCTTCAGCATGGGCATCCTTCCCAGACGTCCGTCAGCTCAAATTTTTTCGATGCGTGGGCCCCAGAGGTCAGGACCCAATCCCTAGGGCCGGTTTTTCATCCTGGGTCCTTTTGTGACGGTCCCGAGGCCTGGCGAGGGCCCCTGCAGGCCGAAAGCGGCCGAAAACCGCCCGCTCCAATTCTTGTTGGAGCGTCAGATCCCTGGGTTACCGCGCATCCTTCTCGAGAACGCTGGCGGCGCATCACCGGCCGCTCCCTGGGAGTTTGACGCGTCTGGCCCGCAGTTTCGTGGAGGCAGTCTTGAAGCCTCTTTGGGGGCTCTTGGGCGCCGTTTGGGGGGCTTTCGGGGCCTCTGTTGGGCCTCTTGGGGGCCAATGTTCCACCACCACTACCATAGGCAGGAGAGGGAGGAGGAGGAGGAGGAGGAGGAGGAGGAGGAGGAGGAGGAGGAGGAGGAGGCGGAGGAGGAGGAGGAGGAGGAAGAGGAGGAGGAGGAGGAGGAGGAGGACGTCCCCATCCTTCCTCCTCTCCTGTCCTACAGAGGTTTTTTGTTGATGGCACCGGCCCACCGTGCTCGCAGATGGTACTGGAGCCGCCGCGGGGGCTCTCTTCGACCTCTACCCACGGCGAGGCGAGAGCAGCCTCGATACCCTGCCGGCCCCCCCATGGCCGGGGGAGGTGTCCGGGTTTTAGGGGGGGTCCTGCAGGCGTTTGAGGCCTGTGTCCGGGTGTCTTCTGGAGGTGCTGCAGTGCAGTATCTTGCTCGTGCCGCCGTTTGGAAAACAAATTGGTTTCGAGGGACGTCGGGTGTCCGGGCCTGGCGTGTCCGGGTTATACGGGGCCCTGAGTGAGGCCCCGGCGGACCAGGCCGGGCACCACATGATGATCGAACAGCACGCACCCATACCCATAGGGAGGACGGAGGAGGCTATGGGTGCGTGTTGTCGGATGGGGGTCCCCGCTCGAACGGGAGCTTCCCCCAGGGTCCGACAACTCGCACCCATACCCATAGCCAGTTCCCCTTTTTTCGACCCTCCTGTGGGTATGGGTGTGAGTTGTTCGCTCGTCACCACAGAGGCTCCGCGCCCGTGGCCTTGGCCTCTCGCGCGCGCGGCGCCGCCCCGCGGGGGGCCCGCGCCGCGCCGCCTCCCCCCGCGGGGGGGCCAGGTCGGCCGCGCTCCTCGCCGCGGCCGCGGGGCAGCTGCGGGGCCGAGCGGCGAGCCGGGGGGCGGCGGCGAAACGCCACGGCCCAGCCTGCGAATGGAGGAGGAGGAGGAGGAGGAGGAGGAGGAGGAGGAGGAGGAGGAGGAGGATCCTCAGAATCAGGATCAGGATCAGGAGGAGGACGCGGGCGCCAGGCCTCGGAGCCCCAGCCCCTGGGGGCGGAGCGTCCTGGCTCGCCCAGAGTCGGGCCGGACGAGAGGGGGGGGGATTGGGAAAGGGGGGGTTACGACATCTGCTGCGAGCAAGCTGGTTTCGGCCCCACCGAGGGGCCCGTTCCTGGATACATGGCCGCCTCCGGCGCCAGGAAAGTCAGCTGCGTGAGCTGATTCTCAACCTCCCCCTTTGCTATCCCCCCCCTTTCGCCCGGCCCGACATAGGCCTACCAAAGAGTGTGCCAAGAGCCTTTTGTGGCTTGCACGAGGTGTTATCCGAGCATTTCTGGCTGGGGCTGTCTTGTCTTAACACATCGGGTTTGTGTTCTAAGAACATCGGTTTTGTTCACAGAGCACTTCAAGGTTCTAAGAACATGTCGTGGTAGGCCTATAGGAATGCCGGGACGGTCGGTCCCTGCTCAAACCCTGGGGGGCCCACATCGACTGCAGTCAACCCGCACAGTAAGGATGGGCAACCTCCCCAAGGGTGCCTTGGCATTCTTGCCTCCTCGGCCCATCCTTGGCGACTTGCGCTGGCCAGTCTCGTTCGAAAACCGTTCGCATGGCCTTCCCAGGCCTTTGCATCCTTACCCTCCATCCTTACGATACGGGTTGACTGTGCACGTGAGAGTGACCGTTCGCTGGAGTGACCTTCGGTGCTGGCCCAATGGGGTCCCCCGATCGCCCAACGCGTTGCGATAGTAGCGTGTTGCGCGCTCGTGTTTGGTCCCCCCCGTGGCCCCCCCCCCCCAAGAGCCGCGGGCCCAAGGTCACTCTTACCCAGGGTTGCTCTTACGTGCAGCCGACTATCGACCCAGACCCCCTCGGGCCATGGACAAGTCGCGACAGGAGACTTTTGGCCATCTCTCGCCTCTGGGCGCCCCCACCGAGCTGCGGGACCGTCAGGGAACGACTCGGGAGGAGAAGCCGGTCCCAGGGAACGGGTCGAGACCTCTGGGGGTCGACGCTGCGCAAAAAGCACGGCGTGGGGTGTGTGCTGGGGACGCTCAGGCGAGTGCTCGCCCGAGCTCCGCCCGAACAGGCGGACCGCTCAGGCAGGGCGGGGAGCTCGGGGATAGCCACCCCCAGGCGGCCATGCAGACGCAGCCCTGCGGAGGCTGGAGGCCCCCCCCTCCCCGTGGTAGGTGATCCTTGAGCTTGGCCCCACAGTTATTTGGTCCGTTCGGAAGCCCGACAGAGTCGGGCGTGTCGGGGTCCTGCGGGAGCAAGCTTGAGAGCGCGCACCCCGGTCGAGGCTGGAGGCGGGCCCCCCTGTGGTAGGATGATTTTTGGGTTTGGCCCCAGGTTTTGGGTCTCGTCGGAAGCCCGGCAAAGTCGGGGGTTGGGGTCGGGCGTGTTGCGGAGGAGGAGGAGGAGGAGGAGGAGGAGGAGGAGGAGGAGGAGGAGGAGGAGGAGGAGGAGGAGGAGGAGGAGGAGGAGGAGGAGGAGGAGGGAGGAGGAGGGGGAGGGGGAGGAGGAGGAGGTCTTCGCCCTCACGGCGGGAGGCTCTGTGTGCGATCTGCGGCCTCTTCCCGGGCCCGCGCCGGGCCCCAGGACCGCCAAGGCGCGGCTCGGGTCGGAGCGCTGGTGCTAAGTCGGGCCTGTCCCTCTACAGGAGGAATATCCAAAAACAGGCAAAAAAGAGTCAGGAGACGATTTTTCGAATATTTTGGATTGGTTTGAGGCACTTTTGGATCATTTTCCATTTTTCGTCCAAAATCCCGCCGTCGGAGGAAATGCCCGACCTAACGCTGGTGCCGGGGAAGGGGTATAAGCCTCCGGGGGTCCACGCGGTGAACAACTTCGAGACGTCGGGGGGTCTGGTGGGGGGTCTACCAGGGGTTGGTCGTTTGTTGTTTTGTGGTTGTCTGCCCGTGGGTCTTTTAGTGTCTTCGTTCTCTCTCTCTCTCTCTCTCTCTCTCTCTCTCTCTCTCTCTCTCTCTCTCCGCGACAGCATGGGTTAACGGAAGGTTCTGTAGGCAGTTCTGGTGCGCAAGCTGTACTCCGTGAGTCTTGTGCTTCCGACGTCAACATACACACAAAAGGTTGGTGTCGTGCTGACTTCGGCGTTGGTTTCTGACACCGCGTGGATCGTTCAACCTTGAAGGATCTGTTTTTTCCAAAATGGCAGATCGCTCAAATCCACCGATTCTGGGTCGCCAGCGGCGTTCAACGTTGAACTCCAGCGGCGGGGTTGCCGCCAGTCGACACGACGCGAGCCTACCGTATCATGATGCATTCTCGGGTGATCTGAGAGCCCCGCGCGTTCGGGGGCGCACGCCTGCAGGCGTCTCCACCTCCAGGCACCGCTTGAAGTCATACTCCACCCTGTCTGGCGTCCGCCCGGCAGGGCTCGCTTCGACTCCTCCGGCTCGACTCGATTCGGCTTCGATGGCTTCCGATTCCGATTCGACCTGACTTGGGACTGCGATCTGGGCTCCGATCTCTCCGCCCATTCGACTTTCCCGACCTGGCTCCCGATCTTCACCACCTACCTAACCACCCCAACCCAACCCGAAGGCCTCAATTTGCCCTCCATTTCCAGTGGGGGGGGGTCGGGGAACGTTGAAAAAACACATGGAACCCGTACCCCCCCAACCCGAAATTCGGGTCAAATTCGGGTCTTCGGGTTGGGTTGGGGTGGTCTGGTAGGTAGTCTGATCTCTCGGCGGACCCGAGGAAGCTCGATCGCCGAGCCCGACTTCTCGAGCCGATCCCGGGCTCTCTTGGCCCGGATCTGCCGGGCGTGGTGGCCTTCAGATCTGGGCGCCGCAGAGCCAAAATTCGCGACGGCCGCCCCGTGCCGTCGAGCTCGGCGTCGGGAGGCCCCTGGCATCGCTCGGACGTGTGCATTTTTCCTCGGCGAGGGCCATCGAGGAGCATCCTTGATCATTTAAGGCGAGTAAGCCACTCACGAAACCGAAAAAAACACAGTGAATGGACGTCCGAGCGATGGCCAGGGCCGCGCCCCCGTCCCCGGGCCGCCACAGCGCCGCGGCTCGGGGGGGGGGGGGCGCGGGGCCCCTCGGAGGCGGCCGCGGTGGATCCCCGAGGGGCCCCCCGCCGCGAGGAGCACTGGCCGCGCGGGGGAGGAGAGGCGAGCGCCCTCGGGCAGCACGCCGTGGGAGCCTCGGCAGCGCTCGGGCGTCTGCACGGTGCTCGTGCTCTTCGGCGTCGTGTTGCCCCTCGGCGCGGGCCCTCGCCCCCCCCCCCCCTCGCCCCCCTCGCCCCCGTGGAGTAGGCCATGGCTGTTTCGGGCGCCCGCCTCGAGCAGGGTGGAATCTCCCCCCCTAGGGCGCGTTGATTCCAGCAGTCGTGTTCCGCAGAGGAGCCCCCCCCCTCCCCCCCCCCCTTCCGCCCAATGTCGAAACGCAGAATGAGAAAGTGCTCACCTGTAGTCAGGAGGGGAAACAACACACAGACACAATTAATCGTCGATTCCCCAGAAAATATTAGAACATATGGGAAGTGGGGGGGGAAGACAAAGAACCAGACAATATGGGAAAATATAGGGATTCCTGTTATTTGAATGTATTTATTTAAGTGTTTGTGGGCCCCTTCGTTTAGGCCCACTACAGAATTTGCTAAGAACTGCTCATGTTTTGCACCGGGCGGTGGCGTGAAAAGCACAGGTGCGGAGCCAGACCGCCCCCTCCCTTTCCGCCCGTGGTCGAAACGTCGGCTAAGAGAGCGTTCGCCCTTCTCTTTTTCTCCTCAACGAGGACCATCGAGGAGCATCCGGGATCGTCGCGCGAAAAATGCCCCCCTCCCCCTCCCCCCTCCCTTCCGCCAGTGGTCGAAACGTCGAAGAAGAAAGCGTTCGTCTTTTTTTCCTCGGCAAGGACCATCGAAGAGCATCCGGGATCACCGCGCGAAACATACCCCCCCTCTTCCGCCAATTGTCGAAACGTCGAAGAAGAAAACGTTCACAACTTTTTCTCGGCGAGGACCATCGAGGAGCATCCGGGATCGTCGCGCGAAAAAGGCCCCCCCCCCCCCCTCCCTTCCGCCAGTGGTCGAAACGTCGATGAAGAAAGCGTTCACCACTTTTTCTCTGCGAGGACCATCGAGGAGCATCCGGGATTGTCGCGCGAAAATGCCCCCCCCCCCCCCCCTCCCTTTTCCGCAAATGGTCGAAACGTCGGGTAAGAAAGCGTTCGCCCTTTTTTCCTCGGCGAGGACCATCGAGGAGCATCTGGATCGTCGCGCGGAAAATCCCCCCCCCCCTCCCTTCCGCAGTGGTCGAAACGTCGAAGAAGAAGGCTTTCGCCCTTTTTTTTTTTTGGCTCGGCGAGGACCATCGAGGAGCATCCGTGATCATCGCGCGAAAAATACCCCCCCTTCCGCCAAGTGTCGAAACGTCGAAGAAGAAACCGTTCACCATTTTCTTTCGGCGAGGACCATCGAGGAGCATCCGGGATCATCGCGCGAAAAATGCCCCTCCCTCCCCCCCCCTTTCCGCAAATGGTCGAAACGTCGGGTAAGAAAGCGTTCGCCTTTTTTTTGGCTCGGCGAGGACCATCGAGGAACATCCGTGATCATCGCGCGGAAAAGGCCTCCCCCCATTCCGCCAATGGTCGAAACGTCGAAGAAGAAACCGTTCACCTTTTTTTCTCGGCGAGGACCATCGAGGAGCATCCGGGATTGTCGCGCGAAAAGTGCCCCCCCCCATTCCGCCGATGGTCGAAACGTCGAAGAAGAAAACGTTCACCATTCTTTTCGGTGAGGGCCAGCGGGGAGCATCCGGGATCATCCTGCGAAGAAGAAGCGCGCGACGCTGAAATATATGCACGGGGACCGGACGTCTGAGCGATGGCGAGAGGTGTGCCCTCGTAGGGCCGTGTCTGAGTGCATTTTAGCGTGGTCAGCGCTTGGTAATCGCTGAGAAAGCGCCGACTCAGCGTCGGTGAGCGTCGATTCGGCGTCTACTTGGAGTCGGCTCAGAGGAGGAGGAGGAGGAGGAGGAGGAGGAGGAGGAGGAGGAGGAGGAGGAGGAGGAGGAGGAGGAGGAGGAGGAGGAGGAGGAGGAGGAGGAGGTGAGCGTCGATTCGCAGGAGCCAGCAAGATGGTGTGGGAGGCTCGCACGAGCTGCCACCGGAGGCCGCCCCCCGCACAGATCCAGGGTGGAGGAGGCCGCGCCGCCAGAGGTCCGTATAACGCCCCGGGCCCCGCAGGACCGGGCGGCCGCCGCGCCTCCGCGCGACGTGGTCCGGCGGCTCCAGCCGAGGGAAGGAACGCGATGGCAGCTGCCAAGCTGTCGCGGGACCTCGTCGATGCGGGTCCTGGCCCTGGCCCGTGCTGGCCGTCGCCGGGCCGCGGGGAGGATCTGCGAGTTCGCGAGGGCCAGGAGGGGCGGGGGCCAAGATCGGCATCGACCCAGGCCCAGACATGCGACGCCCTGTTTTTTTTTTTTTTTTGTTGTTGTTGTTTTTTTTTTTTTGTTTTCTTTTTTTTCCTTCGGGGTCCCTGGAGGTCCCGACCAGTTCCCTGGGGCCAGTTTCCCATCCCGCGTCATCTGTTGATGGTCTTGGGGCCCGGCGAGGGCCCCTGGAGGCCGAGGACGGCTCAGAACTTCCCGCGCCGCGATTCTTGAACGCTGCGAGCATGTCTGTGGGCGTTTCTGCGTTCAGTTTGGACCATGGGCACCGCCTTCTTTCCCTCCATCCCAGAGCCTGGTGGCCTTCGACGCGGCGCTCCGGGAGGCCGGCGGCGGCGCCGTCGTGGCGGTGGCGGAGCGGCTGGGCCCGGAGGGCCTCCGGGAGGCACCCGGCGGCGCCCGCCGCCTTGGAGGGTCCGCCCTTCGCTCCGGTCGATCCGCTGCGATGTCGTTCCCGGCAGGCTGGAGCGGATTCCCGGGCCTCCAGCCCTGAGATCTTGGCGTGGCATTTCTCTTGTCGCAGCGGGCGATTTCTTGCCTTGCTTCGGGCCCCAGGACCCTCACAGATCGATCCGATTCGACACATGGCTCAGAAAGAAGGGTTCCAGGGCTCCGGTCATGTTTTTTTCATTTTTTCGCGATGTCGCATTTTTTCCGCAACGTCTGCTCAGAGAGAACGTATTAAGATGAGAGTCAGCCCCGGTCCAGAGTTCTGGGAGAGAAAAAATCAAGACATCGGATCTTTGGGTCCGATCCGATATCGGTCTTGGCCGGCTCCATCTGACCTGATTCCGCCCCCGTGATGACGCAGCTCGAGCCGACGCCATTTTCTTGGTGGAGCGGCCCAGAGAGTGGTGATGATTTTATTGGGGTGGAAATCATGGCCGGTCTCAAGGCCCCTCCGCTCCTTATTCCAGCTCATCCCCTGGGCCCCCTCACTCGTCCGCGCGATCGTGCCTCCGGCCATGATTCTTGCTACCCCCCCTCTTGCACACCCCCCGCTTTGGACGCCTCCGAAGCCCGAGCCGACGCGGGTGCCGATGCAGGGCTCGTTTCGATTCCTCCGATTCGATTCCGATGGATTCCGATTCCGATTCGATTCGACTTCGAGTTCCGATTTGGGCTCCGATTCCTTGCTGAAGCCCTACTAGCCCGCCGATTTTCGCCGATTCGACTCTTCCCGACTCGGCCGCCGATTTCCGCCGACTCGATTCTTTCCGACCGCCGATCCGACTTATCGACTCGATCCTGGGCTCTCCTGCGATGCGGTCTGGTTTCCCGATGTGTCCAGGCGGGCCCGGTGGGAGCCACTGGTGCGGCGGGCCTGTGTCGTGTCGACGCGGCGCCGGCCCCCGCCGCGCGGGCGGTCCAGGTCGAGCGCCGCCGGTGGCTCAGATTCGGCTTCCCTTTCCCTTGCCCTCTCCTCCCTCCTCCTCCCTCCTTGGTCCTGCCTCCTCCTCCTCCTCCTCTCGCCTGCCCTCTCCCTTCTCCGTCCTCCTTCCCCTTCCTCCTCCTCTCCTCCTCCTCCTCTCCTCCTCCTCCCTGGGCTCCTTCTCCCCTTCCTCCCTCCTCCTCCTACTTTCTCCTCCCTCCAATCCTTCCCTCCTCCTCCTCTCCTCCACCCACCTCCTGCCCTCCTCCCTCGCCCCCTCCATCCTCCCCTCCCCCTCTCTCCCTCCCTCCCATCCCCCTCCCCCCCCTCCTCCCCCCTCCTCCCCTCCTTCCCCCTCCTTCCTCCTCCTCCCTCCTCCTTCCTCTCCTCCTCCTCCTCCTCCTCCTCCTCCTCGAGAACGGGGGATTGTGGGGGTCCTCGCCTTTCGAGGGGTGTTTTCGTATGGTTTTCTTCCTTTCCTCCTCCTCCTCTTTCTTTTCGTTTTCTTCCTCCTCCTCCTCCCCTTATTCCTCTTCATGCTCGTTCTCCCTATCCTGCTCCTCAACTCCCTCCCCTCCTTCTACTCCTCCTCCTCCCTCTCCCTCCTTCATTTTTTTTTTTTGCGTGCCCCCTCTCCCCCCCCCCCAACAAAAAAACGGGGTGGCCTTCGTTTTTTTTTTTTTTTTTTTTCCTGTTCCCCCCCCCCCCCCCCAAAAACAAAAAACGAAGGCCCAACACCCACCCCCCGTTTTTTTTTTAGTTGGGGGGGGGGGTGTGGAGTGGCACGACAAATCCTCCTTCCTCCTCCCCCTCCTCCTCCTCCTGCTCCTCCTCCTCCTCCTCCTCCTCATCCTCCTCCTCTCCCTCCTCCTCCACCTCCTCCTCCTCCTCCTCCTCCTTTCGGAGGCTCGCATTCGCTCTCCACGAAACGCAGAGCCTCTTTGCCCGCGCATGTCGGCCGAGTGGCGGCCGCCTGGACGTCGATGGAGGCGGGCCCGAGGAGAGAGCGGGGGGGAACTGATCGGGGCGGAAAGAGAGAAAGAGAGAGAGAGAGAGAGAGAGAGAGAGAAAGAGAGAGAGAGAGAGGGAGAGGGAAAGGGAGAGGGAGAGGAGGGACTATGAGCATGGGTCTTTTTACTCACAACGTGGAAAAAAAGAACTCACCTTTCGTACGAGCCCGCACGCGCTCAAAAACCAAACTGGCCGAGCACGAAAGATATCTCTCTCAGTGCTGAATGGGAATGCAATATGCAAGTGTCGCGTGGGCACATCTGGCGCGCTCGTGAATTACTCGGCCCTAAGACCGCACACGAACCTTAGCAACATAACACCAGAGCTACACGCGCAGCGCGTCATGGCAAAATCCATGACCCCCAACAGTATCGAACCCCCATGAACTATCACAAAGCGCCCCGTTGGCACATATGATGCACCATCGCTCTGGACAGCTCTACACCCGCGCACGAATTCAATCAAGCAAGCTGTAGCTTCGCGCTGGGGCGTCTGGCGCACCAACACGCTAATCAACGCAGACCCAGCGCATAGGCAGAGTGATATCGCAGAACAGCTTTACGTGCACATATAATGGCCCCAGCCATTAACCCGAATACTCGACCTGGCTTCACTAGGGGCAGCCGTAATGCCCGCCCTGCCCCTGCGTCGTCTTGAGGTTCTCCTTCGGGGGCAGGTAATCGGCGTTATGCTCCTCCACATACTTGTTGTGCAGCTTGGCGAAGTAGAGCACGCAGAGCTTGTGGCGCAGCGGGGTCATCTCGTTCAGCGGCCGCGCGTAGCCCCTAAACCACGAGAAGGATTGCTCCGCCACCTGCGTGTTGATGCCCTTCAAGCGGCGGCCCAACCGCATGATGTGGTACGGGTTGCAGGGGCAGCTGCGGGTGTGGCCCTTCGCGTGCATCCAATCTACGGACCAGTACTTGATGTCCTTGCAGGCATACAACTTCTGGGTTGATACGTAGAAGGAGCAGCACCTGTCGTACACGAACGTGTTGACGTTGGGGTGCTTCTTGAGCGCGCGGGCCAGGGCTTCGGCCGCCACGCCGTTGCCCTCGGGGTTATTCTGCTCGACTGCGGCAACGATGCGCCCCTCGGGGGTGGGGGCCATGAACCAGCCGTGGTTGTGATGCATGTGGCGGACTGCCTTGACGCTGTTCTTGTACTGCGCCTTCTTCCGAATCGCTGCGGCGGACGGCCTCTTGCCTGGTGCAGCGGCAGACGGCCTCCTGCGAACTGGCGCGGCGGACGGCCTCTTGAGAACCACTGACTTCTTCTTCGCGGCGGGCTTCACGCGGAGGGCGTGCTTCTTGATGGCGGTCTTGCGCACCCTTTTCATTGACCCCTTCATCGCTGCTGGCCCCCCTGCGCACGGCGCGCTGCTGCCTCTCCTCCTCATTGCATTTCGTGAGGACTTTCTCGTGCCCGTCCCCGACGAGAACTGTGATGTCTTTCGGGCGCGGAGCGGGGAACACGTTCCTGTGATAGTAGCTGTCCAGCTTGGAGAAGGTATCGTCGGTGATCTCCTTGCCGATGACGACCCCGCGGTGCTCCTTGATCGGCTCCATCTCCTGCACTGCGATCAGGTGCATCAGCGCGTCGAGGTGGAGCTTCCTGAAATCGGTGACGAACTCCTTGCCGTATCCTTCATCGGCCTTGTTCGCAAAGACTTCCTTCGTGACCCAGTCGATGCCGCGAGCCGTCGTGAAGGCGCGGAACATCAGCTTCTCGTGGTAGCGCAGGTAGCGCATGGCGAACGCCCTCTTGTTGCTCACGAAGACTACGCCAGACTGTTCGAAGTCGGCCACCGTGGCTGTGTTCACTTTGTCGCCCTCGACCCGCATGAAGTTTGGGCCGTGCGTGAGCCTGCATCCTTTGTTAGTGCACCGCCATGTCCGCACCGCAATCTCAGTGGTCTGGTGGAGGTCGTAAAGGGTGCTGGAGATCTCGCAACCCTCCCCTCTGTGCAAGTGTAAGGGGGACTGGCAGTGGACGCACTTCCACAGATTCGCCTCGAAGGGCCCGTCAGTGTCTACGGCCATCTGCAAGCCAGGTCCTGGCTGGAACAACGCGTCGGCGCCCGCAGCTGGAATGGCGTAGTCCGCGTCGCCGCCGCCAGTCGGCAACCCCGCATCTGCGTGCGCCGCTTTGAGCGAGAACCATTTCAAGTCCATGCCCTCTGCGAGCGCCTCAAGGCCGGCCAAGGGCAGGTGCATCTCGACTGAAGGCGCCGTTGGGTCCCAGAGCGCCACGCAATCGCCCTCCAAGATTCTGACGCCATGGCAATGTGCAGGCGCAGGCGCTGATTGAGGCTCAATGACACCGTAGACAGTGCCCTCGGGATGGTCGAGGCGGAAGACGTTGTTCGCAGTCTCCTTGGTGAACTGAGGGATCTTGGCCGCGTCCCGCTGGGAATGGTCCAACTCGGACTCGTTGAACTCCTTTACCGTCATGGTCGCGCTCTCTTCGTCGAGCATGGTTTTGAGGGCCAGCTGTGCCCAACCAGCCACCGAGACGACGCAATTGGCTACCTCGCGATCGCCGCGCCCCCTCCGCACGACAACCGTCTGTGAACCGCGAAGCATTGCCCTGGCGAAGCGCACGTGCTCGGCCCCGCGCTGCCATGACTTGATCTGGAAGTCCACGCCAGCGGCTGCGCTCGCCTCGGCCACGGCTGCCGCGAGCATCGCCTCGCATCGGAAATCCACGACTTTCGCGAGGAGGCCGTCGAATATGAGAACCTCGCTGGTGCTCCCCGCGGCCCGAACCCTGTCCAACAGAACCATCGACGCATCATTCTCCATGTGCGACAGGATGGCCGCGATCCTGCTGAATGCGGGGCTGGGGCGGTCGGCGTATAAGACGTTGTATTCCGCGAACTCGGCGCAACCGAGCAGGAGGTGGGCGCCGTCCACAATCTCGTTGGAGAGCTTCAAAAGCCACGGCAACTGCGTGGCTGGCCGAGCACCGTAGAACAGCTTGATCAACTCAACCTTGGACTCGTCAGCGGAGACCTCGAGGCACATAGCAACGGCCTCCCGCCACTTCTTGTAGTCGACGCAGAACTTGCGGATCATGGGGAACCTGTCATCACTCCACAAGCCGCGCGCCTGCAGTGCCTTCTTGAACAAGCGCGGGTGGCAACGCGGAGCGTCGCTCTCGATGTAGTCGGGGAATGCGGCTGCCCGTGCCTCGCGAGTGAGCTTCTGACCACCGACCCCTCTGCACAACTCGCGCGCATATGGGTCAGAGGTGTAATAATCCATTGGCAGCTTAACCAACCGCTCGTTGCTGTTGTAGTGGGCGACGCAGCGCTGGATGTACGCGTCGAGCACAGGCTGGCGCCGATCCGTCTGGCCGTTGGCGTACTCTTGCAACGCACCCGAGGAAGGCATCTCAAC